AAAATCACCACCACCGAGAAAACCACACACACGGATCCGCCAGCAGTGTCGTGACGCTGCTGCCGTAGGGAGGGAAAGGGAGAGACGGTCGGTGGCGGTGGAGACGGCGGGCAGTGAGAGAGGGGAGAGAAGTAGTGAGAGACGAGAGTTGATTTAGAGTTCTTATTTAAAATAAATTTGGTGGGGATAGGTAGTAGGGTGGATATATAGTTTCTTTTAATTGTATAATATCATTATTATTTAAAATGATAAAAACCTAATTTTTAGAAAGTAATCTTTAAACAACTGATTTTTTATAATTTTCCTTATTAATTCCTCTTCCGACTTGCAGTGGCGATTGGCAAGAAATTGAAATCAAAATTCACTAATTTATTGAACCCTAAAATCTTACCGCTAGTCATGCCGGAGCCCGCGACCACTAGTCCGCAACCACAAACCGGAGTTGGCAAACCGCCTTTGGCTTTAAGCCTTTAACCAATACAACATGTGCAATTTTTATACTTTTTTTTCAACTTTTGGAATTTTTATTTCAAACAATTTATTACTGTTAATGGGAAATGTTATTTCTTCTGGCCATATATAGCGGAAAAGAGGTGTGCAAAAGAAACTAAAATATCAGCTAATTAGTGTGCCACGAAATGTCTCACCAAATATTAAAAGTGATAGTTTCATAGATTTTAGCATTGAATAATGCTAACTAACATCAGTAGTGTTAGAACACTAATTTATATGACATTTTGTGATAGATTCAATTAAATGTAGAACTATGTAATTTATTTAATTGAACATATTAGATTCAATTAAATGTAGAACTATGTAATTTATTTAATTGAACATATCATTTAATGCCACTTAAACTAGTGTTAAACATCAGTGATGCTAAATAGCACTACTCTTTAGCATTAAACAAACTCGAACTACTAATAAATAGAATGTTGGCTAAGCTTGTGGAAGGTTTTCTACTTAAGGATTTGGGGTTTGTTTAATATTAAGATTAATGTTAAAACTTTGTCCTTCACATGTAACAAAAGGTAAATAAACCTATTTGAAGATAAAACCATGCTACAAATGAATAAAATGTTGGTTATAATTTTCCCATTAACAAAAGATAACTAACCAATTTCGATATTGGTAAAAGTATGGTAAGGCATCATTTTGTTTTGCAATTTAAATTTAACATTCCAAATCTAGGAAACCTACATTTATAAGTGTTAACATTTAATTGACGGATAATCGTCGGACTATGTCACAGTGTATTATTATACAATTTAAACATTGGACAGGGTGACAGTCTACCTGTAAGTTTCTATTGTTCTTATTTGTAACATTTGTTATAGTCGCTCCAACAGGCTAGCTTACTTCAATTTCACACTCAATTTGCTGCCTTCACGAATCATGCATGAGAGGCACTCCGCTTGACATTTAGCACCTTGAATTGTATTTTATATTGAAATGATGTGATTTTTGAACCTCGATTTCAAATACCTGCACTTTCTGATTTATACAGAGAATTGGTTGCAAGTAGAAGGCAGTAAAACTATGTTACTTTGATTAAATTGATTTGTCCGGCATTGTCGCTATCCTTTTTAACGACGACTATTTGGCAAGCTTCAACATTGAAACATGTGAAGATGGTAATCTGTATCAAAATGGATGGTGATTTTCTTGCCAATTATATGATACTCTACATCGAATGAGAATTTACTATGAATTTAGATGTAGCTTCTATTATAAATGAATTTTATACTGTGAAATCTTATCGGGCACAACTTTAGTGGTGAAGGTGATATTCAGGGGCGGAGCCCAATGAAGTCTAGTGGAGACTCAAGCCTGCACTGAACTTTTAAGATCAACCCAAAGGCCACATGTTTTTATTTATTTTTCAAAACTAATGCCCACATTTGTAACCAATAAGTGAAGCCTAATAGCATATTATCATTCGATTTCGATTTCGATTTCAATTTCAATTTCAATTTCAAGAAAACCAATACCCTATCCTTCTTCCTCCAGCTTTCTGTCTCCTCCTCCTTCCAGTCCCAGCTCAACTCAATTTTCGACTCTTCCCCGCCATTCAACTTTCGTTTCTGCTCGTATATTTCCTGCTCCGTCGGACCATACCTATACAACTTTTTGAGCCTTAGATGACAGTAGACTAGGCGACCACCGGTGATTCTTTAGCAGCAGCAGAAGAAGAAAGTGAAACCCCAAACCTGAAGCATATACTCGTTTTTCTTTTCTTATTTTTTGTTATTTTGATTTGTTTAAATTGTAATAATGTTTGTTTTTTTTCTCTTTTAATAACATGAAATTAGCACTTTGTTCTTCAATTGCTCGAAGCATAATGCCTATACATTGCTCTTCAATTGATTTTGCTTTCAGACTTCAACTTCATTCCAGTATTGTTGCCTCTGTGACGATGAGTTGCTTCCTCCGTCACTGTGAATATGTGATTTGTGAACTGTGGATTGCACATGCTAGAATTTTGTTGGTTTACATGGTAGTAATTGCTAGAATGTAATCTGTTAGGATCATGTTTAGAATTTTATTCTGTGATTTTTAGTATTATCGTAATATTGTTTTATATTTTTATAGTCATTAAATTAATAACTAAAAACTCGTCTTTCAACATCGATAAATTGTGCCCGCACTGAGTTACTTTTCTGGCTCCACCCATGATTCCTTCACACCAAAAATTATGGCATTCCTGCTACCAAAATGCTTTAAGCAATCAATGACAGATGCATGTGACAGATCAAATGTTTTTTCTTTCATACACAAATGAACAAACAAGTAGACGAAGAGAAATCGACTTTGATAACAAATCCTAGATAAGTGCTTAATTTTATACTCAATAATGTAAATGAAAATTTCCTTTAATCCTAATTACTAATAAATAACTATTTCAAAAAGAAAAAGAAAAATATTGCTGGTCATCGAGTAATTTGGGTTCGAAAAGATATATA